AGAGAGAGAGAGAGAGAGAGAGAGAGAGAGAGAGAGAGAGAGAGAGAGAGAGAGAGAGAGAGAGAGAGAGAGAGAGATTGTTCCTCTTGTGTAACAATACTGTACATTCTCCATTCAATGGAGTTGTAATCGTCGTGACATTCTATTCGTTTCATTTGTATCGTCGTGACATCCGCAGCAGCAGTTGTTATCCCCGCATTGTGTCGAGTACCGAGTACTTGTACCTACTGGCTTGGCAGTACAAAGTACTCAGACTGACAGTACATGCGTAGTATGACATAGTACACACGTCGTCCGTAGTCGCTATTCCTTCGTAACTTACTTCTCCTATCAGACTGGCAGATCAGTGACTTCTGAGCGTCACCTCTTGTGTGTGAACACTGTGAAGTAATTGCTTCACTTATTATCAGACCGACAGACGATTGCCATTGCCAGTTCAAACAGTCCAACCGGCGCTTGTGCTCGTAATGGTTTGAAGTGAGAGCTTGACACTCTATTTATCATTTATGTACGTAGTGATGAGAAATTTGAGAGCGACGGACGGATACCGCTGGGGATTCTATAGCAGTCTGTGAGAGAGAGAGAGAGAGAGAGAGAGAGAGAGAGAGGTTTGGTGCACATTGCTTTGACAAAACAAGACGACTCAATCGGATGGTGTCCGGAGTGTTTGTCGAAATTGTTTGGCACATGCCAGCATAGGCAGCGCCCCCACCTATTCATTGCCTGGACGGCAGCTAGCAGAAAGGTAGAGGTAGAGAGAGAGAGAGAGAGAGAGAGAGAGAGAGAGAGAGAGAGAGAGAGAGAGAGAGAGAGAGAGAGAGAGGAGTCAGAAGAGGGTGGGGGCATTGTTGAGGACTGTGGGCTACCAGATTGAGAATTGTCTAAGCGTCACACAGCATAGGCGGATGTGCCGGACGTGCCACTGTTTGATCGCCGAAAAAAATGAGATGACCCCGATGCTCTGCAGAGAGTCCAAGGAGTCGGTTGGGGCATGCCAGCATAGGAATCGGTGCACCGCTTGCCTCGTCTTCTTCTGGACTGGGGTTAACATCAATCACAAAGGGAGAGAGAGGAAGGAGGAGTCAAAAGAGAGAGCGGCGGCCATTATTGAAGACTGTGGCTAGCAGATTGAGTGAGAATTGGCTGAGCATGGCAGCCTAGGCGGGGCGGATACCTTTGCGGTATCCGCCCCGCCCCTACGCTTCCATCCAGGCTGTTTGTTATTTCAGCTTAGAGCTATCAGAAACGCCGCAAGATGGAACGGACCACCTCCACCTTTTTTGTTGTTGTCTCATAAAAAAGGGCACAGAAAACCTCTTGCGGCGTTCGAGGCCTGTGATTGGTCCGAAGGAAGCTCAAGAGGTTTTCTGTGCCCTTTTTTTTATGAGACAACAACAAAAAAGGCATTGTAAACGGACAGTCGAACAAGGCAAGGGGGAGCGTAATGAGAAATGGATGGAGAGGGAAAGGGGAGAAGGAGGGAGGGAGGGAGGGAGGGAGGGAGGGAGAAAGGAAGAAGAGAAGAGGAGAGGGAGGGACGAAGGCTGGAAGTCAGGTAAGGCTGTAGAGATGGAGGCAGGGGGAGAGAGGCAGGGAGGGAGAGAGGTGGTAGGGAGAGAGGTAGGGAGAGAGGCCAAGGAAGTCGATGTAGGGTCAGTGTGTACAGTGGAGGTGGCTCATGGAGACCTGAGATGGGACATCAGCTTTGTGTTTTCCTGCTGATGACGACCTAGTTATGTAGTCCTGTTCAGACTTTTGTGTATGTGCACAATGTTGAGTTCTGCTCCTAATGTTCTTCTTGGAGCGTATCTGGTCATCATCGCGATCAAGTTCGGTGTTGGCATGTGAGTGTGTGTGTTTCACTCCCTCTCGCCCCTCCTCTGGCCATTCCCTCTCACTTCTTTTCCTCCTACTCCCTCTCACTCCTCACTCCCCCCCCCTCTCACTCACTCTCTTCTCCTCCTCCTCCTCCTCCTCTCACTCCCTCTCACTCCCTCTCTCCTCCTCCTCCTCCTCCTCCTCCTCTCACACCCTCTCTTGTGACAGTCCTCCGCTCACTCCCTCTCTTCTCCTCCTCCTCTCACTCCCTCTCTCCCCCTCCTCCTCCTCCTCCTCTCACACCCTCTCTTGTGACAGTCCTCCTCCTTCTCCTCCTCCTCTCACACCCTTTCTTGTGACAGTCCTCCTCCGCTCACTCCCTCTCTCCTCCTCCTCCACTTCTCCAACCCAGTGCTCGTAATTGTACACCTGCTCAGTGCTTTCCATGTGATGTCGATTGTCAATGGAGGCCAATCATCACAAGTGCCAGTAGAGTGGGAACCCGTGGAAGACAAACTGCCCTGATGCTACCGTATGACGATTGGACAATGGACATATGCCCCGTCTTCCTTGCATCCATATCTTCCTAGCAATGAGACGGAGGATGCCAGCTCGTTTGGATAGCTGAGAGGTTTAGACCCGCACCTGGTACACACCTACCTGACTTGTCAGTACCTGGTTTATAAACCTGTGCCTG